ATTTGTAGTCGTCTGCTTCTAACGATCTGATAAGTTCTACAGCAGTTTAAAGTTTTTTTAAAGCAACACCCTTTCTTCCCCTAAGCTCTTCACGTTTCAAAACAAATCATAAATTTCAAGATAAAGTTTTTTCTAGCATAACTTTAAAAGATTTCAAATTTAAACCCTTATACCTCAAATTTAAATCCCTATATGTAATTTTGTTATATATAACTAGAAAGCTTGGAATTATCGAAAAGAACTTAAAGCTTAACTTAAATAAGATTTAGCATTTGAATCTATCTCATCCCTCTTTAAGCGATCGAACATATAGGTTGATGGTTGCCAATGAAGTAATCTGTACCGATTCTAATTGCTCCATTGCTTTTATCCGAGTGGACAGCGAACTACCAGATCCCAATTCAAGCCACGCTGCTTGACTGATTGAACCCTCACTGAAATTGCTTAATAAAGTTATATTACTAAGAAATAACTGAGCGAATATACTTCCACCTTCATCTTCTTTCTTTACAATATTTTTTCTACTTAGAAATTACATTTCTAACTCTTTTGGGTAAACAAACTTAAAATCTGCAGAAACCGAAAAGAACTTGAAAGCATAATTTAAATGAGACTTAATATTTGAACCTATCTATTGAAATGATTCCAGAAGAGAATGAACTGTTCAGCACTCTAATAAATGAAAAGTGCAATAACCTATTGAAGAAATGCTGAATATCGTCGCTGTCTTTTCGACTAAATATTGCTGAAAGGAAGCCTCGCCTCGATAACGGCATACCTACCGGATTCGGACTCGAGAATGCATGCGTATCCCTGAATTACTTATTGAGACTTAGTGAAAAGGATAATGTTGTCTCACTGTGCTAAACTTCACCAATCTTTTTTATCATGCCAAAAATAAATTCAGTAATATCCCCTATCTAAAAGCAGCAAACTGTTCTAACATCAGGATTTTTTAAGTTACTAATGAAAATATTAAAATACAAAAGAATACCACTAGCTGACAAATTCAGCGTTCGCCACAAAGCTCGACTTCTTTCGTTGTCCCCTACGTGAATTATGTATGATTAAGGCATAAGCATCGTTTATAACATGAAACAAAAACTTGCTAGAAAGAAATATAAAGAACAGTGATTAAATAACGAGCAAAAGTGTGAATTAGAGGTATAACGAAGAAATGAGAAAGATTCTGTTTCTCATCATGGACCAGCAGAACCAATTAGGAAGAAAGCTGTATTGTCTTCTAATGATGCCATTACATTTGCAAAACTAGGAGTTAAAAAAAGAAAAAAACCATTGACTACTCCTTTTCTCCCCCACCCCACCTAACCCCATATACTTCCACCCTGTTTTCACTTTTTTTCAGGAAATGTAATCGATCACTTCCGAATTTTGTGATTTAAAATCAATGACGGTGTGAAATTATTGATCTCAACTCGTTCCTATACCTTTTAAAGTTACCGCACTGCTATGGAAGAGTGTTACATTCGCAAGGCGTTATTGGTATACAATTGAAATAAAATATGAGGGAAACAAGTAAGCATTTTGCTACTGCATGTTAGAGAAGAATTTCAGCGATAACCAAAGAAGTTACGAGGGGTCATTATGCATCAATAATACTGAGATTTCTATTTTTCGAAAAACATTTTAGGAATTAATCTCATTTTAATGCTACTGATATTTCTTGTTCTTCGTCTCCTCTACGATTTATCCTTCGAATTTTGACTTACTGATGTCTAGAGCTAATGCTATTTGTACTTATAAATGAGGAAATTCAAAAACTAATACAAAATTTAATAAACTATTCAAATGAGAACTTACTGAGAAGGAAAGAAAACCAAATAATAAATTTGGTAAAAGCATAACTGAAATTGAAGAATAAAGGCTATCCGAACAGACAGCTGTATTTCATCCTGAGATTATGTTCTATTAGTCGATCAATTCTTGCTAATGTTTAATTTTGAAAGTTTTGTTTACTTAAACTAAAGTCTATGGAGCAGAGTTATTCAACGAAATACTTTGGCTAATGATTGTAAATTAGTACTTTGTTCAGGAATTACTTAGTTCAAGAAGCGACTACTGATTATAAATTAGTGATTAGTTAATTGTGAAAAGTGTATTTAGAAATGAACAAATAGGTAAGAAAGTAAAAAGTTGGATTTTTTGATTCAATTATATTTTATGCTTTTTGAAAACTTTAATTTCAACTCACTAAAAGTGTATATTTTCGGTTTTTATTGCTGAACTGCGTTGGAAAAAAGGGAAAGTTAATCTAACCTTTTAACCTTGATCACTGATATCTCTATGATGTTAATTGATCACTCAGATCATATTTCCTGACTTATTTTGCAAAACTTAAAAGTTTTAAGTTTAAGACTTAAAAAATTCTCATAAATTTCAAACTTGTGTAATTCTAAAAGAAATAAAGTACTTCGAAATTCAGTTCACGAAATTCAAAAATTTCGGCTTCATACCTTTTTTTTCGATTATATGGAAATTCTTCCTTATGAAGTTCGAATGATGAGATTAAGCTAAATTTTACTTTCATTAGTTCCATCTCTTATCGATCATTTTTGCTACACTAACAATTCATAAATCATCACTGTTGATAGGAAGAGGAATTGAAGTGAATTCTAACAGAAGCAGACTACGTAAGTATAGATATCATAGAAATTCTCGATTCCCGATAGTAGTAGCAGCTATGGTTTTCCTACCTCTAAACTATTAAGCCTCATCTTATCTTTTATCATTTTCTATTACTTGAAGTGATAAATGAAAGATTGCTTTGCTCAAAGTTTATTTATTCATTATTATCTTTCCTCTAGTTTCTCTCTCTCTCTCTTTCTTTGTTCTTTTGCTATTTAATATAATCAACTTATCACTTAATGGGTTCTTAGCAATAGTAATTGGATATGATAGCTATTATGAAATCATTCTGAGCATCAATCCATTCATTGAAATCCATTTGCTGATCGCTATAATTGGGAATTTTAGAAATACAATGAATTAGATAAATAATATATGTTTGAAGCCTTGTAGTAAGCCTGAATTATATTAACCAAATAACTATCTCTTTGGCAGATTGATTGATATATTGGCCTATTTTGTCTTCAATTTTATAAATTATTAACTTTAACAATTTTATACAAATGCAATGCTTATAAATTGAAATTCTTTTAACACTAATAAGTATTATATTGGTAATATAGAAAAGAATGATTTGAAAAAAGAATAGCAATTGCTAGAGAGCTGCAAAAAAAGAAAAGTTATATTAAATGAAATAGTTAAAAGTGAAATTCAAAATGATTAAATGATAGATAGGCCTTACTAACAACCAGCTATTTCATTTCAAATGAAATAATATTATTTTGCTATTATTTAAAATTATTTCTTAACTTTTTATTCTATCATATCTATGCATTCTGTATTATCTTATAATTTCATTTATCTTACTTATAATGTTCATTTTTATTTAAAAAAACAATTCATTCGTTTGATGTGAAATATAATGTGAATTTTAAGTAGTAGAGATAGTAATAGTACTACTACTATTAGTATAATTGTAATACCAAGCAATAGCTGAGATAATTCATTTGAACAAATGTTTCCTGAAGAATGCTGCTGTATTTATGACACACACACACACACACACACACACACACCCATACACCCACATACCCACACACACACACACACACACACACATACACACACACACACATCTCGAAATCTTCATTCTCTTCTCATTCAATACTTTTGTTTTTCATCCATCTTTAATCCTTTCTTTTCCTTCAAAATTTCTTCTTTCAAATTATAAACGGTTTTAATTTTAGTTGCATTTGTACCATTTGTAAATTGCTAAACCAATTTAGTATCAAATTTAAGTAAATTATTCCTCTATTCCTCTAAAATTAAATTATGAAATCTAACTAACAGTATTAATTAATTAATTAATTGGTACCATGCAAATTTGTTAAAATTGTCAAATGCTGAACTAAGCAATTTCTCTATCCCTCAGAAACACCTGTAAAACTAATTTGAATATAATATAATTTCAATTTGTTTCATTTTCCTAATCACACAAACTTTCTTGAGCTTCTTCAATAATCTCTTCATGTCACTTTCTTCTCTTTCCTTTCATTCTTCCCTTCTCTCTCATCTTTGTTACACTTCTCAATTTCATTCTATTGGAACAATAGAAAAAGTGATGAGTCAAAAACAATCTTTAATTAGTCCAAATATTTTTTAAGTGTTGCCATCGTTGTTTATTCCTATCAAAAAACACAAAAAAAACGTGTCACTATTTTTACTCGTCCTCTTATTACCAGTTCCATTGTGCTTTTTTAGGGATACGATATCTTCTAATGCATAATACAATCAGTGAAATGTAACTTTTTATTTCAAACTGAATTAATGTTTATGAGAGAGAGGATCCCTCCTGGTTAACTTTATCGCTCATCAATGAGAGAGAGGATTCCTCTTGGTTAATTCTATCACTCATCAATGAGAGAGAGGATCCCTCCTGGTTAACTTTATCGCTCATCAATGAGAGAGAGGATTCCTCTTGGTTAATTCTATCACTCATCAATGAGAGAGAGGATTCCTCCCGGTTAATTTTATCGCTTATCAATGGCGCATTTTTGGTTGTTTCAATTTCGTCAGTTCTACTTTTATACATTTTATTTTATTTTTCGTTTTTTGACAGCTATCACTACTACAACATCAATATTTTTAACTCTCTCTTGAAAATTTATTCGTCAGCCTTTCTGTTTTCAATTTGATTGATTCGAAAATGTTTTTTTTAATGCTTTTTATGAAATTTTTCGTTGATATTTTTTCCTCTATGTTATTGAAAATTACAGAAATGATTGTGAAATGTTGCAAAGATTGATCTGTAAAATATCCAATGAAATTTTATGAATCAGATTATATCAACTTGTTACTTTATAGATTGCCAATGTCTAAATGACTTATTAAAATACAATTCAAATTTAAACGAAATGAGTAATACGGAAGATAAAAATGATGAAGAAACTCAAGAAGTTGAGGAAAAAATTGATTGGGAATCATTGTTAAATGCAGCAAATGATCCGGATCTTACCGAATTCTTTCAATCACCGATCGATGATGCAATCAATATTCTCAAGTGTTACAATTTCTTTGTAATTCCAAATCAAATTTAACTCTTTTTAAATGTTTATTTTTCAGTTTATTAAGAAACTGATAATAATTTATCTTTATGAAGCCAAATAATTTTGGTTTTCAGAAAAGGACGAGAAATCCAGAAATTATCGATAATTCGAACATTAAGCGATTTGCTGGAGACCGATGGAGATCAAGTTGTCGAAAAGATCATGCCAGTTGTTCAAGTTAGCTTCATTTTCTATTTCAATCCCCGTTACTTTAGTTTCTATTTCAATGCCTGCAATTCGCATTCGCATTTACGCTTTTGTATAATTGATTATTATGATTTAATCCAAAGCGCCACTTTAGCATTAATTTTAAATTTTAGAATGAAAGCAGATCGTTTATTTATGGTAGAGAGAATAATAGAAATTGCCACCTTCCATTAATATTTAAAACTTCTTGTGGAAAAATAACTTATACAAAGTAACTTTGAAAATTTTAATTATCTTCTGAAATGAAGAAGAGATTGTGCAAATGATTTAATAGAAATTACAATTCGTCCAATAATATTAAGAATTTATTTGATTTTCATAATTTGAAAATGTTTACTTGCTTCATAATGCTATGTGCAGCAAATGTTGGATGAAGAATGTGCAAATTTGGATATACAATGTGAAGCAGCGGTTGCCTATAAAAATATTTATCGAAATAGTAAACTTACCGCTCGTGTTTTGTAAGCATTTCTTTTTTTAGAATCCAAATGTATTCAAGAGTTTTTAAAATTTTGCAATGATTTAATTGTTCCATATTGAAAAGCAAAAATATAACTATTGTATTTTATCATTTCTATAAATTATAATTTAAAGCAGCGATTCAAAACTATAAACGTTTAAGTTTTATGGTTTTCTGATTTTAATGTTTTATCATCCTAATTCTTTTTCATTTTCTTTTCTCACCCGAAAATATATAAACTTTTATTTTTTATTCTTTTCCTCTTCCCTCAAAAAAAAGACTAATCAATAAGGCAATTATTGAAATGCAACAACAAAAAAATCAATAAATTCCGCGGAGAATAAATTTTTCAGAGGTATTAGTGATGTAATTCTCAATGGTATATTGCAAAATGCGGCACAACAAAAGGACAATTGCAAGTTTTATTTTAATTTTTGCTTATTTTTTTAAAATTAATTTTATATGTAATATTGTATTTTTAAGTGTTATTAAAATTTCGTATTGTATAGCTCACAACTTGCACCTATTCCCATATTCTTAATCTTTCTACATCTTATTGCAATTATTATTAAACATAAATTATGTAATTAAAATTTTTATTTTTATAACCGTATCAGTGAGTAAAGTTAAATCAATTACAAGTTAATATATTAATTGAATATATAACAGCAAACTCTTTAATATTAAATTTAATTTTATCACAATATGGCAGTTGATATAATTATTTGATATAATTATTATTCAGTAATGGCAGCAGCATGGTTGGAAACGCTTGTTGAAGTGATCGATCAGGCGCCTGTATCGCAACTCAAACAACTTGTAAGTTTCTTCTTAACCAAATTTCATTATTTCTATAATATTTGGCAATTCGGCATCAATTTTACTCTTCTTAATGGTACATTAATCATGATAATGATAATGAATGATGATAATAATCACTGGTGTCACAATTATTATCATAGCTATATTAATTATGCTACTGGTAATATTAATAATACAGTTGTAATATGAATATTAAGATGAATTACAATTAACACCCTTATTGACTTTAAAATTTCAAAAAAACAGGTAAGTTATAGAAACAATATCATTATACAATAGTGACAATGTTCTGTGAGAAAGGTTATGATAGTTATTTAGTAAAAATTGAAGTTATTATTTCTGTTCCCATAAATTTATCTATTTTAAATTACTTTAGAATATTTTAATTAAGATTATAGGTTGTACCACTGACAATTGCGCAAGCTGAAACATCACAACGAGCACAGCGACGCATACTTGCAACTAAATTGGTTAATAAATTGTGTGGAAATTTGGAACCTATCGAGTGGGTCCTTTTTTTTTGCAATTTTAATATATTCCACTAGATAATGAACAATTGCATTGGCTAAGTGATGAAGTAAAAGTTTTCATTAATATGAAGAAAAAATAAAATCTTCAGACTATCAATTAGTTAATTAATGAATCTCATTGAATGTAAATTATAATAAAATTCCATTCATTTCAAATTATTCAACAAAAAAAGAAGAAAAATTTACTTTTATGTGTCTCTATTTTTTTTGTAAAATTTTTCATCGATCTGTTGAAAATTGTAAAACTTTTCTTTAATTTTTCAACTTTTCTTTACTTCAGAGATGAATTATTTATTTTTATGATATATTGCAGGTAAAAAAAAACTGAAAATTAATTCATATCATTAATTTATCATTTGCTTTAAGTAATTTTTGTTATAACAATCGAAATTATATTTGATTTTTTATTTTTTTGCTTATTTATTGATATATGATATTTTTCAGTATTCGACGTGATATTATACCTTGTGTACAAATGCTTTGTAATGATCCCAATTCGAATGTGCGAAGCTCTATGGTTCAACATCTGGCTGTTGTTGCTGAATCGCTAAGGTACTTAATTGTTTGTCTTTTGATCACAAATCGTTTTAAAAAAATAATTAATTGAAATTAGAATCTATAAAATCATGCGATTTTCAGATCACTTATATGAATATCGTATTTTACAGTTCTATCTTCAGAAGAGACATCTCTGAATTTTAGATCGGTGTATTAAAATTTAATGGAAATTTATTGAGGAATCGAAGTGATTGTGGAACAACGTTAGTACCATGTTTGGTGCAACTATGCAATGATACCGAAATTGGAACACGTGAAGCGGCATTGAACACAATCGCTTCCTGTATCCCATTTCTATCAAAAGGTTGAATTCTCTCTCTCTCTCTCTCTTTCTTCTTCCTAATACATTATTTTTATCATTTAAATATTTGCATAACTATTACACTATGGAATAAATAATGCCGTGTACTATTAGCTTCGATTTACGCATTATTTACTATAGAATCATTTCATAGGTTTTTCAAATTCTTTCTGAATTTTTCAGTCTAATGAGTGTTTATAATAAATTAACCTTCTTGTATAATGAATGATATTTCAGTATATTTAGCTATTCTCAGAATTTAGTCGTTACTTTTATTTCCAAACCAAATAGCAGAAATGAAATTATTCGAAATTTATGAAATGTATTTCATCATTAATATCATATTTTCCCAATTCACTGTTTTCTTTGTTCATAAAATTTCAGTAATTTTGTAGACCAACGTAAATGTTCAATCGTTCCACTGTTGAGGGATTCCATCGAGCAAGCGCTAAGTGCTCAAGATGAAACACTCCACGTGGTAGCTAAAAATTTTGGCCAATGGATAGATTTATTGCAGGTATTAACATTATTAAGAATGAAAATGATAATTAATATGAAAAAAAATGGTAATTTAAATGAAGGTATTTCTTATCGCCAGATATTAAATGGTGAATTTTGTAAGAAATTAAAGAAAATAAGCTTTGAATTCAGGGCCTATCATTAAGGAACAATCCTGATGACCTTTTTTTTGTTTTTAGAAGCCTTCAAATAGGATTTAGTATATCCTAGAAGCCTTTTTCAGGATGTGCTAACAGTAAGGGACTATAATTGGTTTTTGGATATTTATGTTCAAATTGCCAATCTATCACGATATTCATCATCCAATGACGATAATAGCAATTTATCGAATATTCAAACATCAGTTAGGCGCATGTGTGCTTACAATTTCCCAGTATGTGCATCATTTTCTAGCATTGTATTATTTGGAGAATTTTAGAATTGATCGGGAGCTTCTGATATATTTTCTGACTTCTGACTATTCCTTCCCTTCGTTTGCTAAGATTCACAGGTCCTTATGAAAAATTAAGAAGGAATGTTTTAAGACTGTTTTTCTGCGATTTTGGAATAGCTCGATATTCATTTTATAGTGTATGGTATTGAAATATGGTGAGAATTTCTTCAAAGGTCGTTTGTTACCAATTTTGGAAGCTTTTTGCGCTGATCCAGACGATGATATTCGCTCTTCAACAGCTGCGGGATTTCATGAGGCTTGAATTCATTTGATTTAAAAGAAAAAAGCTGATTCATTTGATTTCGTTTATAGTTTGATTAATTTGAAGATAAAAAATGGAAATATTTCTGTATCAATTTATTGACAAATTTCAGGTTGTAAAACTGATTCCAAATGAGCCAGCTCTCTTACCACCATTTTTTGAGCTGATTCGTGGAAGTTCTGCTGAGGTTGTTGGACATTTGATGGGCAACCTTGATCGAATTCTTCCAGCTCTCTACAAATGTATTTTCGAGCAAAATAATTGTGTAAAAACTTCACGATACTTTAAGAATAACCCGAAAGCACGAACTCTCATATAATTTTTATTTCATTTTAAGTCTTCCACGATTGATGATATCATATTTTTTGGGCTGATTTTCAAATAGCATCCGATCATTTTCAATTTGAACAAAATAAGCTTCCGATATTTATCGAAAAATAAAATATCAGTATCATTTTATGCAGTTATGATTTCAGAAAATCAGCAGATTACAATTGGATCATATAATAATAGGATGTAATCGACTAATACGTGGAAGCAGTTCCTGGCGAGCGCAATATTCATATCTAAAAAATATTGCCGTGCTACGACATTTAATTCCTGTTAAGGATCTCTTTATCTCCTTTATTCCAATGCTCAAACAGGAGGTGCTAACAGCGGTAAATGTTTTTTTTGTTTGGAATTATTGAATTTTCTAAAATGAAATTAATTTTTCACATGCATTGTTTTTGTTTTGGATTATAATCTAAATCTGATCTAAACCTTTCAAGATAGCAGTTAAAATAACAGTACACCTATTGAATTAAATTTCTGTTTTAAGGATGAAACAAGTTCAGCAATTAAATTCGATAAGATTATGTTAAAATTTGATATATAAAAAAATGATTGCATCTTCCCTCTCTTTCTGCTACAATGGTTTTATATGTATGACTGTTCGAAGCATTCCGGCATTTCACAGCATAATCCACGATTTTTAATCTTGTCATCCTTCAGCGAGCGATTCCATGCCGTGTCGCCGCTTCGATTACACTACTTCTATTTATGCGAGAAAATCCTTGCGATGCTGATCGTCAATCAATTATCGACTTCTTCATTCACTGTAATTCGATTCATTAATTTGAAATTTGTGCAAAAAAAATTATTATTTAAATTTTTTGCAAATCAGCAAAGTATTCAAAGCTCTTGAAAATTCAATTTTATCTTTTTCAATGCAATCAATTTCACTGATAAATTTCAAACTTTAAAAGGAAAAAAAACTATAGCAATCGCAAAGCATCAGAATTGTCATCGGCGTCGATTATTTTTGGACATAATTCCGGAAATTATCGCCAATTTTAGCTGCAAATTTTTCCACGCACATTTTTTGACTTCAATTTTGGCAATGGCAAACGACAAAGTCACAAGCATTAGGTTATTGTTTGGTTTTTGATGTTAAATTAATGGATTTTTGCTTATTGAAATGTTATTTATATTCACGTTAATTTTGATTTGAAAAGTTTCACCTGATTTTCCATCTAAAAATTATTTTGAAACTCTGTGAAATTGAATGGTAATTTAGAAATTCAACTATTCACTTCTTTTTGTAGGATATCACCGTGGATTCTATATTACTTTAACTTATGGAGAGATATTTAATAGAATACGAATAATTAAGCGTTAAATTAAAATCAACTTAATTCCCTTATTAACTCGAACTATCGAGTACGTCATATTTCTTTAAGAAATTAAATTGTTTGGATAATAAAATTTTTGTTATAAAGCATTATTAGTTAGAATGAATACTTTTTTTTGCTCGTGTATTTTATAGTTTTAGAAAAAAATGAAAATCTCGAAAAATTTTAAAGGACTGAAAATCTTTTCATAAAATGCTTTGCAGATTACAACTTTGTCATATGCTTCCAAAAATAAAAACAAATTTATATTTGCCTGAGGATGAGGAGATTTTGCGACAGCTTGAAGGAATTATTCGTGAATTGCTTTCCAAAGAGCAAAATTCATCAACACGACAATTAATTCAAACAGTACGTATTTGAAAACATTTACGCATATTTTTTGAAACTTACAATTAATTTAATTTCTTCAATTTATCTTTGCAATCATATTTCAGCTAACCAAAATTGATCACATTTATGTCCAACGTAATAAAGAGCCGATTTTTTCTTTGAATTTTCAGTATGCATGTGAATTATCACGAACTGAAACTCGAAACAAGAATGATAAATCAGATGAATTGAAACAAAAAGCTGAGGATGAAATTTGGAGTCAGAAAGAAGCAGTTCTGGAAGTTTTCGAAGAAGCAAACAATGATACTTCAAAAGAGCAGCTTAATCAAAAAAGAATCACGTATGTTGTTTCAACTGAAGTGAATAGTAGTCTAAACAGTCTCTAAACAAGAAAATAACTCGTTATATTTATTTGTTGATTTATTTTTCTCATTTATTTGCAGCTATTTATTAATTACTTACATAATTAAAAATTTAATTTTCAGTGATAAAGACACTAATCGTTTGGATAAGAATCTTTGGCGTACACATAAACAAAATTCCAAAATGGCTATTGTTCGGCCACAACCACAAGTTACTGTTACACAACGTAGTCCAAGCCCGATGCCACATAGTTTTAGAACAACAGTGGAAGAACGAAAATCACGACTACCACTGGCTACATCACAAAATAGTAAATTTTGTAAGTATTATGATTTTTCTTTACCATCTATTATTTAGTCAAGTATCTATCTAATTGGTGCTATAATAATTTTAATTATCTTCTTTTCAGAAATTTAGTTGCGTTGCCATCTAAGCGTAACTGACCTCAAATTCCTTTTTTTTTGCAGAATTTCACCTCGAATTTTTTTTGAAATTTCAGTAGACACAAAGCAAAGAAAAACAGCAACAGCATTAGCAGTTAGGACCACTTTACCGCTAGAAAGTGGCAAAAGCAATACTGAGGTGACAGCAAAATCTCGTCTTTCAGCAAGTCGTAAAAATCCAACAACTTTAGCCCCAAAACCTCCAACTGGTTTAAGTGCTGATAAGACAAATGGTTTGTTCATTTATCTATTATCAAAATAAAATTGTTTTATTTAAAATATTTAAAATCATGCTGAACTTTTTTTTAACATTAAAGTATTCATGTTAAGCTTTTAAAATGATTCTGTTTAGCATCATCATTGAAAGCAAGTCGTCCCTCAGTAACTTCCGTTATGTCCCGTTCAGTATCATCATTAAACGAAAAAGGTGGTTTAATTCCATCACGATCCACTGATTCTGTCATGTCATTTGGTCAAAGTCTTATCAAAGTTCGCAGTTTTTCAAATATTGCCAGAACACCGACCCATTTAACCATGAAAGTGAAAAGTATTAATTAAATGATACATTTAAAGATGACCACATGTTTGTATATTTTCTCTTATTTGTAAATAAATCTACATTTCTTCTCGAGTCACTTTCGTTATGAGTAGAAATTTAAATTAAAAACTTAACAAAATTTGAAATTTTTAGTGACAGCAATGATTGATATTGAAGTAAAATGATTGAGTTACGTAAACACATTAATGGTCATACGTTGATATGTTTGTAATATGTCCTCTAGCAGAAGTTGATCTCAGCACATCTTCGAATACTTCAGCGATAAATTATAAATTTAAGTCAACACTCTGTCACTGGTTTCAAATGCTGTTCTAACAATCATATATTTCTAGATAAAATGTATAGTTTTATATTCGAGAACTTCTGAATGTCCACTCATAACTCTACAATGAAATACGCAGTTCACATAAAAGAGTTAAATATTTATAAAGATAGCGTACTATTTTTTACTGGTCAACTATGCGCAAACCTCAAAACTCTCTTCCATTACTCTGTAAATTGAAATTATATGCCACTTTCAACCTTCTAAATAGCTCGTCCGCTTTGTTTTCGTAAATATCCACTAATATAGTGACACCATCGTATTTGAATAAGGTCAACTTAGAAAAGATGTCGATAGGGAATCTTATAAAGTTAGCCTCGAGATGTTAAATAACTTTCTGCTGTAAATTGAACAATATCGATATTCAAATATGATAGCATTTTGCAAATTATGAGAAAATGGTTGTCTGTAAAAGAATCGAAATTCAGATTTTATTCATTTAAAAAAATTTTCTAATAATAAATATCGTTATAACGACTTATGATAAGCTTACAACAACATTGTAACAATATAATATTTGTTATCACAAAATGTTACTTTGGCTATAGTTTTTACGATGCATCTTCATTTCTCCGATAAACTTGATAATTTCATCGGTGGCAATANGTTACAATGTTGTTGTAAGCTTATCATAAGTCGTTATAACGATATTTATTATTAGAAAATTTTTTTAAATGAATAAAATCTGAATTTCGATTCTTTTACAGACAACCATTTTCTCATAATTTGCAAATTGCTATCATATTTGAATATCGATATTGTTCAATTTACAGCAGAAAGTTATTTAACATCTCGAGGCTAACTTTATAAGGTTCCCTATCGACATCTTTTCTAAGTTGACCTTATTCAAATACGATGGTGTCACTATATTAGTGGATATTTACGAAAACAAAGCGGTTCAGAGGCTTGAAAGTGGCATGTAATTCGTTACCTTCGATTCATTTGAATCCTGACTAGGCACAATAAAGTGTAGGGTCTTTAATTTAAATGCGTTCTATTCAGTCCCTTTCATCTTAAGAATCACTAAGACATATCAATGGGTTAATGAGAAGCTCACTCACTGCGTCTAATTTTCTTATTAAAGATGCTGCAGCAGTTTTCCAACTTATTTCAACAAAAAGGCGCAAAAAAACGGTTTAGACTTTAAGGGTCAGATAAAAGATGCTTTAAGCACACAAATATTGCAATGAAAAGCCATTATAGTTATATTATATTGATCAAATAATGATAAATAAATTCGTCTCGTTGAGACACTTATCCTATTCGCTACAACAAAGCAATTCAAAAATGAGAAATAATTGGTGACAACAGCGACAAGCAACTTTTTATAATTAGCGAGGCGCATCCTGTTTTGGAAATACTGAAAAAATTTCCGCAAAGTTAATCAACCAGTGCAACATCGCCACCAAAATGTCGCTAAAAACACGTGTCAAGAAGATAAATGAATTATAGGAAACTGTTGACAGATGCAACTTCAAAATATTATTTTTCTTTCAAAAAATACTGGTAAAAAAGCAAGAGGAAATATTAAGACTACTTCAATTACGAGAATAAAATTGGATAGATTTATATGAATTCATTCATTTGTTATTTTTATTTCATTTTGAAATTAAAATACGGTTGCAATATTAAAATGTTATTAAAGAATAGCATTAGTAAATAAGACTGAAAATTCTTATACGAATTCTCATAACGTAATATTTTACGTGAACAATTTAGAGGATACGTGGAACATTTGCAGAGATATAATTGATATTGCACATAAGCAATGTTTGATATAATTTATCAGTGTATTATATTATACAAACTGATAATATAATACATAGATTAATATGCATTTACTATTGAATGTAAATGACTTCTAAACATTTTTTCATTCGAGTCAATTCATTGTAATGAAAGAAATTATAACGGTTGCCATCATTTGCAATTTTTTGATCGCTAACAAAATATTCCAATGATAATCGATCTTTCGAATTTCTTTTTGGCATTTCACCAATTAAATCAATTTTTATCTAAAAAATATTTAATTGATAAGAAAAAAATTTTTCATCTGTAATTTCAATATTTCTTCTATTATTGCTTATATAAAATACTAATAGTAAAATTTGAAGGATTTTTAAAAATGTTTTGCAAAAAAAGTTTTAAAATTTAAAGATTAAAAAAAATGCAACGAACTTGTACTGTTTCTGATGGCGGAATTATTCCTGTAGTTGGAAATGCAGCAAGACGTCTCATAGCATTCGTTTTTAATGCCCATATTATTGACTTCTTGTAATTATTAGTAAATGCAAGTATTACTGGTCCAACATGACCATTTCGAATTATCACCTGTTAAATTTCTTAAATAATTTCTTAGATTAATATTAAACTGTTCAATCAGGAGCAGAAATACATTATGATATAACCTACGAACTTGTGAATCAGGGAATGAAACAAGTCCTTCGATACTACTTGTTGGATTTCCTGTACAATCGCTTGGTTGTTGACTCTGAAGTAAACATAGCATTTCTATCACTAATATAAAAAATCGATATAAGAAATCCAGAATATCAATTAAATGGAATTCAACAAAAAAAAATGAAGCAAAATAGTTTACTAATTGATAATTATGCCTTTTTATAACACTTACAAATTATTAAGCAATTTTGTGATAACTATTATCTCTATTGTTTAAAATTTTCATAAATTAAAATTTTTTCCCAACTTCAAACGTCTTCGCGGTTGCCGCAACTGATGTTAAACTTCGTTCCGTAGTTTCAATCTTCTCATCTTCAGTCATTTTTCCGCTTTTGGCAGTTCTTGATGTGCATAACTGTGCTACTGAGTGTGTTTTTGCTGTTGTTGTTGCTGCCACTGCAGGATTCAATTTTATAATATTCAACCCAGTAACATTGCACTGCAAATTATGAAAAATAATTATGATAATTTCCTCCATATATCTTTATATATATCTTTTCTTCGTTGTTTAAAATTTTCGAACTTTTCCATAATATTTGCATAAAGCTAAAAATTGCCCGCATGATATTTTACATTCTCTTTTGATATTGTCTTAAGACTGTTAAGCGTTGTTTCATCAAATCCCACTGTATCGGATGTTACATCTTCAGATGTACGCTCATATCGTGATTGCTTATTTGCGATCCATTCTCGTGCATTTCGTTTCAACTGATTCAAATGCCTTGTGTTTCCGGAAAGTGTATTGTTGGAAAGAACATACTAAAAAAGAAAGAAGGAAAAACGGATAATATATTAAGAAACTACACAATCAGGATGCAACTTCATAAGATTACACCATATAAGAGATTAGAGGTTAAAAATTAGGTTCAAAGGAAGAGTTATTCAAACCTTATCATCAATACTTTCCATCGTGCAATAATGAAACAAAAGCATTAGTGTCATCGTTTTAATATAGGAATAACAACTAATAGAAGCGTATATGGTATCAGAAGCGAATGATAAGCCACAGATAAGCCAATAGACGATGATCGATTTCTGAATATTAAACAATTACAATTAGAGCAAAATTGAACAATTGAAAGATTTGTGCATTTGTACTTTTAAAATTTCATTGTTAATGCAACTAATAGTCTGCTGCTATTGCTACTTCTCACTACGCCATTTTCACTTAATTTGAGATAGTGCACAAATATAAACAAAAAAAAACGAGCCTTAATGATAGCATTTTTGTTGGCCATTTGAAAATAAGTTAAAATTCCAGGTGGTAAAGTGCATAATACATTGCATAAAATAAGTGAATAATTGCCGCTCAGTAAATATATTATCGTAAGTAATAATAAAGTTATGAAGATATTGCTATGATAAAAATGTTCCACCGTATTTATCATATCTGCAATTACAATTGAGAATTACAGTTAAAAATTATATGATCTCAAATATAATTAAGATCAGGTAAGATTATATAGCAAATGTTCACTTTCATAATGAGTATAGAAAATTTATTTGATGTTTGAAGCGTTACTTTTTTGAAATGCTTACTTTCCTAGAAGAATCAATGTATGAAAAGATGTGCGAATGCTTCGTTCATTTCACAATTACTTCACATATGTGAATAAGTGAGAAATAAGAATTAATTTACATGTGGGATGTTTCATATCGACCGCTTTCTCTCGGGAAAGTAATGTAGTAGTAGTAGCAGTAGCAGCAGCAGCCATCAAAACGGATATACAAACAATTTGCAACGAACAAATCTTTTACAATGACATCTTTAAGTTTTTATCATTCATTTTTATATACTGTTGTGAACAGGTTGATCAAACACAAATTGCGTCAATTGCCAATCAATTGCCTGCTTATTCTAGAAGTTTCGAAGAAGCACTGAGATAGTCTTGAAGTTGCTTAGATAAAAGATTCAGATTCCTGCTACTTTCATGCAATCTTCTGATCATTCATCAGAATTCTTTGCTGATACATCAGAACAGAGATCATTTCTTGCGAGAAATGAAGAATGGAAAAGAGGTTGAAATTTTTTGCAAAGAATGAAGAAGGAAGAAGAGGTCGAAAATAAGCAGCAGTAGAAAGTACGATACCTTTGCGTTCACTTTTTTCATCAAAAAAAAGTTGCATCCTATTGGCATTTTCACGTGCATTATCGATTTTGGTGATGTATCAGCTGTAATAAGTGCGACATTTCTGTACAGCTCTCTTTTCGTTAGATAGGTGAAAGATGTAATATAGAAATTGGGGTTAGTATTATCTACAGCTATTTTATCAGCAAATGTGCCACGTAAGACTGCTACTATTGCTCATTGTCTGATGTTTAAACGTGTTTATTTCAGCGGTTTTATACCATATCATTCTGCAACATTTTACGTTGTTATTTTTGTTGAGGACAGAAGTACGAGAGAAATGTACTGCACAAAAATGCTTGAAGATTTAATAAATTTTCTTTACTTCAAATATTTATTTTATTAAATTAGCGATAAGTTTGAAATGATTAAAGAAATCTTGATGATTCCATGTTTACCGCATCTTTCTGCAACTATTGCAATCTTAATTTACATACTTCTTATTTCCTGTAGAATTCAATGATTCAACCCAACCATATTCAAATATATATATATACATTTCCAAATCATCTCATTTCATCATCAATTCATAAATTAATTCCAAATTTGCAACTTTATTTAAGATTTGTACTTGCCACATATTTTGATCCAAATAGGATTTATTCATGGGCGATGAGATGTATACTGACTGCATATGTTCAGTTGCTTTCCGGCACATCAAATTACACGTTACAATATATGGGAAGATTCGTTAGGAGTTTCAAAAGATAATCAAGTTTCCATCTCGTTAAATAGGGAAAGTGTTCAGAAATGAGGATATAGTTGAATTGATAGCTGAAAATAATGAATTATTCGTTTGTTGAGTTTCGCAATATCTTCGCTTTTAATCGTAAATAATCTGTGGTATGATCGATCATATACAATAATCCCGAAATAGTGACACATCTGACCATTTCATTTTTTAAGTGATTATTTGTTCTTTGACAGTAGAGAAAGTTTTGCAACTTTTAAAGATTAATGGATAAGGTGGTCTTTTTCTTTCGTTTTATCATCTCTTCCATTCTGTTCGTTTCACTAATTTCTCAATTCACCAAAGAACTTTAAAAATTAAAGAGAAAAATCAAAAAAAATGAATAAATTTGACAGCTGTTAATTTGCTTCATTGGAATTCAAAATAGAAGCGAAAGCAATAGGAAGAAACCAAAAATTGCAATTAGCTATTGTTAGTTTAATGCCAGCTTTTGTATTCACCCTTTCTTCTGACTATCCCTAACATCACCGTCTAATTTGGCATGCAAAAATGATTTTTTAACATTTACGATTTTACATTTGTGCAAAACAATTTCTCAGAATGTGGTCTTACAGTGGATTCTGTAAATAATAATTTATATGATAATATTATGTCTCTGTGTTTGATTTTTCTGAGGTGTACCGGAATGACGAAAATCACCTCTCTATCACTTCAATTTTTAGCATTTCGTTGAAAATACACTACAACCAACACTAACTTTTCCATTCATTGCCTTCAAGAAAAAAGTATTGTGAAATGATATTTGGCAATTAACAATAAGTTGAAATTGGAATTATACCAAATCCGTTTAATAAGTATATTATGTGCAGAAAAGAAAAGTAAAAAATTAATCATTTAGTTTGCAACAGAATTTGAAATGTCTATCTGATCATCTGTTACATTCACTGCATCTTTCATTCAATCTGATCGATATAAACCACTACACTTTTTCGGATCTTTTTCTTTATTTTATTTTTATTATCATCATCGAGAGATGACAGCAAGTTTATGAGCATCTAAATTTCCTTTATCACATTTATCACATTTATAAAAAGGCTTTTAGCAGGCAGTATGGTGCAAAGGTGCAAGTGATTGATGATAAATTAGACAAACCAGAGAAATGAACAAATATATGCTCATCGTGCAATTAAATAACAATTCTGACGTTTCAGTAACAGACATTATTAATTTTATGTTTTTCACATCTTTATATATAGCTAAGGCTTTCGGAGCGTTTGTGTTACTGAGTGGAAGTTGGTGCCACCTCCTCTACCGTAGGTTTGTCCTCAAACATGCTACCTAATAACATTTCTTTATGAAAAAAACTTTTTTTCATACTTTGTTCAAATAATCATTTAGAATGAGGAATCTTTCTGAGTGTTACTATTATTTATTGTCAATGATCCGAAATAACTTTATAATATAAAATACTAACATAATAATATTCAACATATCATTGTATTCGTGAAATCTATGTTATGGAAATTTTTTTTCTTAAGTATTCGCAATCAAATGATTTGAATATATCAAAAGAATACCATAAATGATTAATATTAAATAATTCTCATTTTACCATCGGCTTTATCTATTATATTCGCAAGCAATGCTTTATTAACCATTAATTTCATTGTCTATTTACTATAAACAGAGCTTATCGAACATTACCCAACTCGAGAGGAGCGTGTGATCGTGAACTTACTATTCTTAAATCAGGCGATCTAATCATCGCTATTCTTCGTATCTTCTGATTATGGTCTTATGACTGAAGAACTTTATCAAGAATAGATCTTTCTAACAATTCTGTCTGCTAAACAACAAACTTCTCAAGTCAAAAGTTTTCACGACACTTGTCACTATCTTTTTGTCATATTCCTTTCTCTTCAAATACATTTCGCTGACGCTCCTTTCAGAGTTAATTGAACAGTTATAGAGGATTTAAACTGTCTACATGAAAAGTATTTTATTTCCTCACTTTTATATCAATCCCTTCTATCTTTTGCTTTACCCAGAGAAATTGATGGATTGGCTAGCATTGCGTTAGCACGATTGTTCAATACGATAGAAATTCATTCTATATTAGCTGATCAGATGTCAAATGTAAACTTCTATAAGTTTATTTCACTCAGAATGGCAGCATACGTTGGATTACTTTGGAATTTAGTTTTAAGGGACTTATTAGAAATTTTCCATAAAATTAAAATATTTTTTCTTCTTTCGAAGTTTACAATGTGTATCGCAAAAACAACAACAACTGTGGCACAACGCTCGTTATGCAGCAAATTACCAGTGAAGCAGCTTGTGATACTCAGATCCAAATGTACCACATTCACTGAAGAACCAATCTATAGACCGCGCTTCAGAAAACAGGATTGGGAACGGAGCTCATTGTGGGGAAAACTTTCCGGCCGGTGTGTCCTTTTTCCAATAATTTGATGTTGAACTCTTATTGCATTCATTTCAGATTTAAACATTGATTTCATTCATTTCGAATTTTCAGTATTTATTAAGATTATTCTATCCATATTTTTCTTAGTAGGAAAGTGACAAATTATTAGATATCAAACGTTGATATAGATTGGATTAGGGATGAACTGAGACTAATATTAAGGTTTAATTGTTAAGGTAGATTTTTTTAGTTATTAAACGCTTAACGACATTTTGTCTTTTTGATACATGAGTAGTTATTATTCCAAGGAATACTGGTACATGAGTAGTTATTATCCCAAGGAATACTGGTATAAAATTTACATTCTAAATCTAGTCATTTAAAAAATATCGAAGTATTGACGTCAACAGAGAAGACTGCAAAATTGAAAATTTGAAGTGAAAGTTGGTTAGTAGATAAAAATGTAGAATCATCGGTGAAGCAAACTGTTTGAGAAAATATGATTCTTTGTTTATTTTCAAGAATTGCTTTTGCTTTAAATAAGGATCGGTTCTACCAGATGTTTTTTGGTTCCGTTGGAAGGATAGCATATTAAATGAAATTTGAGAAGAATGATATGATTCAAAGTATTTTTGCTTTATTAATATAATTTGATTTATGTTTCCAATGCAAAAGAATATTCTTCTTTTTTGTTTTAACTCATTAAAAAATTGAAAAATAGGAAACAATAAAATCGTTTAAATATTCAAATTATATTAATAAATTTTTTTTTATAATTGAAATATTTTGTAATAACAAATCGATGAATTCAAAAAAAAAAATTTTCTTAAAGAAATTTATATTTCTTTTACAATTTCATTTCATTGATATTTTTTTCTTCAAACAAATTTTATTTTATAGTATATAATTTTATTTTATAGTATGTATGATGCATGGCAGGCATCATATTTCGGAAAGCGATTTGTTTTTGGTTTGGCATTTGTGTGGTATATGTTTCAGGATTTGGAGAATCATTATCTTCTCATTGATGGTCATTTCTTTTCCTTTTTATTTCTTTCTGATTTTTACTACATTTTATAATTAAATATTTAATCTTTTGAGAAATGAAAAATAAGTGATTCAATCCAAAAATTTTACCATTTAAAATTTGTTTTAGCAATGAGCAACAAATTTGATGAATATGCGGAAGACGATGAAGAAGTATGGATGTTTGTTCATTTTTATAATTCGTAGAAACAAATTTTCATAATTAATAAATCTGTCTTTTCCTTCTCAATTCTTAATTTCAATATTTCACTCATAAGCGATAAATGGAATTTTATCGCTCTTCTGAAACGATATTTTGAAATAGAATATTTTAATACGATATTATAATTTTTGAATTCCTATATGAATTTTTATCGAAATATAAAATTTAGATTGTTTTAAACAAATTTGAAATAAAAAGATTAATTGCTTTGCGTTAGCTCACTAAACATTCTCAAATAAAAGAAATGCTTCAAATTTTTTTCAGGAGTGATGATGGTGGCAATATGTCATAAGGATATTGATAATCGAAACTGTTCAAATCGAACTCCAATAATTAATTGATTAATCAATCTAACATTTATAATATTGACATCTTCTGAAGGTTGAAATTCTTCATTGTATTTTATCAGTCAAACTTGGTTTTGTTTTTGAATTTATAATAAAAGATAGGAATGGAAGTATTTAAGTTTAAAAAACATGTCAAACATGCATTAGTTCTTTTTGTTTCTTATAATTAAGTAAAGTGACCACTACTTTCTGTCCACTACTGCTCAGATATCGGACATGTCACGTCCATTTTCTCATTTATTTATTCATTCGAAATACTATCTTATTCGCATAATTACTTCTTATGATATATTCAACACCCTTCCATAGCAATTTCAACTTATGATTCCAATTTTTGAAGAATTCAGTTTGTTTTTACAATTTAATATTATTTAAACAATCTAAAGATTCCACTGGAATCTTAAGATTTTCACGTTCCCTTTAAATCTTCCTAAATTTTCCACAACAATCAAATGATGATAGTTAAACAGTTTACGTAAATCCAAAATTTTAAATAATTCCATTCAAAAACATCTCAAAAATTCATTCGAAAATGGTACTTTGGGATTCTGTATGTGAATGAGGAGGAGGACTGATTTACGCTTATAAGTAACAGGATTTCAGGATCAAGAACTGTGAAACAATAATTCAGCCTGGCCTTCAAAAAATTCAGCAAAAAATACAATATGAACTATAATTCGTTGAAGATTTAGATAATTGGCACAGGAAAGATCAAACCAAACTTTTCAGGATATACATTGTCTTAATTTTTTTTTTCTATGTTTTCGATTCCCAATTGAGTAAAAAGTTAGCGTGAAATTTCTGACTCCTAAATTATCATCATTTCCATAAAATTTGTTTTAAAAAAGTCACCGCTATTAATATCAATGAATTATATGAAATAATACTAATCAATCATATATAATCAAATTGTTTATTATTGGTAAAGCAAACTGTAATTGGTCAACTTGTTCCCATAATACTTATCGCCAAAACGCATAAGCAACGATTTTCGTTGCGATGACTTACCACAATGTTCATACTTCGGTAAATGATTTCAGCAGTGCTATTTATTGTTCCTAAAAGCATCTAAGTTGTCAATTCAAGATCAATCAGCAAGGTAGGCTTTTCAGCACTGATGACGCTTTGAAATAAATTTGCAAGTGCTTTCAAAGAAGTAAAGACAAAAATCCTATAACTTACTCTGCCGCAGATCATAACGACTTCTGGACTTAATCTAAGTTCATGTCAATAATTATATTAGAGTAAAAAAATTGGCTTCCTGTAGACCAAACAAAAAAAATCAAACTTGCCCAAAAATTGGAAACATCTAGATTCCTTCGGCAAATTTAGTATGAAATCGATGAAACATGAAAGTGCATGACCAGGTTTTATTGCTTCTGCACATTGAGTTAAAGCTGGATTAGCCACTATTTCGCCCTTACAAAAAAGTTTTTACGTACGAATTCCGTTACATATACAATAAAACAGTACTAAAAGTTGGACCTATAAATTCATCTTGAAATTAAGAAGAACAATGATTTCGTACTGGAAATAAAAAGGTACGAATGATTTCGTAGTTGAATGAAGACATGAGCAAAAATGTAGCAATTCATGAGGACAAAAAGACATGAGCATAAATACAGCAATTCATGAGGACAAGAAGACATGAGCATAAATACAGTAATTCATGAGGACAAGAAGATATAAGCATAAATACAGTAATTCATGAGGACAAGAAGACATTAGCATAAATACAGTAATTCATGAGGACAAGAAGACATAAGATAAATACAGCAATTCAAAAAACGATAAAAAGTATGGAAAAATCGGCATGAAAAAAATGATATGGAAATCGGGAAAATTTCTAAGATGAAGTCATATAATGCACCCAGAACAAAGGATTAAATTTATCAACTGCGAATAAATCGTTCATTTAAACTGCTAATAGACCTTATGAATAAAACACTACGCAATTCAAATAATTAACTTGTAGGATAATTTATATATATAGACAAAAAGCGAATTGAAAAAATCGATAGTTGAAACCAGGATAAAATAAGTTATTGACTGAATTAATCATTACATTATGAAGCTAATCAACGTCTGATAATCAACAGCACAGCACTAATCATATGAATATATGTAGTAACCAATTCACAAGATTTAAAACGTCAACCAATGGTGCAATAGATT